GGCTGCAGAGTGTTATTCTGTGGTGTAGCCAAGACTATCTTGCTCTTCTTTTGGTTTTACATACTATTAGATGTTTATTGTTGTGTTATAATTTTTCTGGATGTAACTCTTTGAGTGTTTTCTTGTAATCCCCCTCCTCTACTCCCTCCCCCTCCAAAAAACGACAGCAACGACAACAAAAACCCAAAAGACAAAACAAGAAACAACATTTGCAAACCATACTGGAAGACAAATACAAGCAATATATGTGCTGGATGTGAAAATGAAATGGAAAATGCGAATCAAAATCACAACGAGATACCACTTTACATCCATTAGATGGCAGCCACAATGGAAACCAGTTTGGGGGGGGGGGTTCCTCAAAACGTTAAGTATAGAATTACCATATAATGCAGCAATTCTACCTCCTGGGTGGAATTCAAAAGAACTGAAAGCAGGGACTCAGATACTTGTATGCCAATGTTCATAGTAATATTATTCACAACAGTCAGAAGATGGAAGCAACATAAATGTCCATTGATGAATGAATGGATAAACAACATGTGATTATATATAGGTAATAGATATATGCATACATATACATAAATATACATATATATTTAGAGATATATACCAACATATATATACATATATATAATGGAATATTACTCAGCTTTAAAAAGGAATGAAATTCTGATACATGCTACAACATGGTTGAAACTTGAACCTTGAAAACAGTATGCTAAGGGAAATAAGCTGACACAAAAGGACCAATATCATATAATTCCATTTGTGTGAGGTACCTGGAAAAGGCAAATTCATAGAGACAGAAAGTAGAATAGAGGTATCAGGGGCTGGGGAGGAGGAGAATGGGAAGGTTATTGATTAATAAGTATCGAGTTTCTGTTTGGGATGACGAAAAAGTTCTGGCAATGGATAATGGTGATGGTTGAATAACACTGTGAATGTAGTTGCTATAGATTGAATTGTGTTCCCCTCAAATTCATATGTTTTGTTTTTTTGTTTTTTTCAACGTTTATTTATTTTTGGGACAGAGAGAGACAGAGCATGAACGGGCGAGGGGCAGAGAGAGAGGGAGACACAGAATCGGAAACAGGCGCCAGGCTCTGAGCCATCAGCCCAGAGCCCGACGCGGGGCTCGAACTCACGGACCGCGAGATCGTGACCTGGTTGAAGTCGGACGCTTAACTGACTGCGCCACCCAGGCGCCCCTCAAATTCTTATGTTTAAGTCCTAACCCTCAATGTGATAATATTTGGAGATGGGGCCTTTAAAATTAGTGCCCTTATAAGAAGAGACCCCGGGGGAGGGGGGGGGCGCGTCTGGGTGACTCAGTTAAGCATCCGATTTCGGCTCAGTTGGAGCCCCCCATCAGGCTCTCTGCTGTCGGCACAGAGGTAGCTTCAGATCCTCTGCCCCCGCCCCCACCTCCTCAAAATAAATAAAAAGCTTTAAAAAAAAGAAGAGACACCAGAGAATTTGCTCTGTCTCTCTCTCCCCACCATGAGAGGACACAGTGAGAAATCAGCCATCTATAAGCCAGCAAGAGAGCTCTTACCAGAAACTGACCATGATGACATCTTGATCTTGGCCTTGTAGCCTCCAGAACTGTGAGAAAATATAGTTCTGTGGTTGAAGCCACCAGCCTGTAATGTTTTGTTATAGCAGCCCAAGCTAAGACAGTAGTTAATGCCACTGAATTGTATACTTGAAAATGGTTAAAATGGTAAAATTCTATTATGTGTGTTTTGCCACAATAAAAAAAAAAGAAACAAAAAAATGAAAAGGGCAATTCTGTTATCTTCTCTTTTGCAAATCTCTAGATGCCAATCTCAGAAAGACATTAGTAATCGTCTAGCAGCGACCCTTCTGCCTTATGTGTATGAGGAAAGTGAGGGTCCTAGAAATGAACTGATGTAACCAGGATCATCATTCTCTGTTCCTCACCAGGTAGCCCCTGTCTTCAAGAACGGCATTACTATCATCCTGTTGCCCAAGCCAAATATATCTTTCTCATCCTTGACGCTCCCCCTTCTTCCTTGACAGCTGTATCTTGGTGATTATAATACCTTAATACACTTGTAATCTTACCATGTCTGCCTCAGTTTGGGTCGGCTTGGTCCCTTGCCTAATAGCTTCTTAGCCAGTTTTATTGCTTCTCTTCTTGTTCCCCTCCAATCTATTTTCTATACAGCAGCCAGTCTTTCCCAAATCCAATCTGATTATTTTCTTCTCCCACTAAATCTTTTAATAGTTCCCTTTCGTTACTTAAGTTCAAATGCTTCAACGTGATACTCAAGACTCTTCAAGGTCTTTTGGTACCCTCCTAGCTCTCCAGTCTGGTCTCTTCTTCCCACTTATCACCCAGGCTGTGCCCCAGTCTTATTAAACTTGTGATTCCCTAAACACATCATGCTCATCTCTCTTCCTGATCATTGCTGAAGGATGGACATTTTCAGAGATAAATGTTACAACACACATGAATGTGTTCCATTCTTTCTTTTGCACCCTTTAACTGGCAAGGCGAGGTGGCCCAGGGCCTAACCTGGCCCTCTCCCTTGCTTCCTCCTGGTCAGCAGGGCAGCCTCAGTGGGGTCCTTTGGTTACTGGATTAAACTGCTTGCCTGTCCCTTATCTTCTAGGGCTGGTGGGAAAGGCATTTGACCAAATTGAGTTGTAAGAGTTGAAACTGGGATTTGGGCTTTCAAATTTGATAGGCTACCGAGACCTATCAAAAGACAGAATACCATAGTTTATGGGCATTCTACAGTAGGCATTAGGACTGAAACCCTAACTAGTAATATGTACCTACCACCAGAAAGTGAAGGATGGGATTCAGGAAATACTAGGTCCTTTGGCCAATCATATTCTCTTTTTTGTGTTTTAATTTTTTTAATGTTTATTTATTTTTGAGAGAACGAAAGAGAGAGCGCAAATAGGGGAGGGGTAGAGAGAGAGGGAGACACAGAATCCGAAGCAGGCCCCAGGCTCTGAGCTGTCAGCACAGAGCCCGATGCAGGGCTCGAACTCAAGAACTATGAGATCATGCCCTGAGCCGAAGTTGGACACTTAATTGACTGAGCCACCCAGGCGTCCCTAGCCAATTATATATATATATATATATATATATATATACACACACACATACATACATACATATATATACACATACATACATATATATATTTAATGTTTATTTATTTTGAGAGTGAGCAAGTGAGTGCAAGCAGGGCAGGGCAGAAAGAGACAGGGAGAAGAGAGAGAATACCAAACAGGTTCCAAGATGTGAGCGAGGAGCCCATGCAGGGCTCTACCTCACATACCCTAAAATCATGACCTGAGTGGAAATCAAAAGTGGGAAGCTTAACTGACTGAGCCACCTAGGAGCCCCCGGCCAATTTTATATATATATATATATATAATTATATATATAATTTTTTAATGTTTATTTTATTTTTGAGAGAGAAAGAGAGTGAGACAGTGTGAGTGGGGGAGGTGCAGAGAGAGAGGGAGACACAGAATCTAAAGCAGGCTCCAGGCTCTGAGCTGTCAGCACAGAGCCCCATGCGGGGCTGGAACTCACAGACCGCAAGATCACGACCTGAGCCCAAGTCGGACGCTTGACCCACTGAGCCACCCCAGGCGCCCCCCAATTATATTTTTAATGTCTTCCCAGTCCACTTTCCCCAGCCTGTTTCGCCTGATAAACTTCTAGTCACCCTTAAGCTCTTAACTTCTAAGAATTTGTCTCACCATCCTCCAAGGAGACATGTAAACTTTTTTTTTAATGTTTATTTATTTTTGAGAGAGCACGCGGGTGGGGGTGGGGGGAGGGGGGAGAGAGGGAGAGCGAGAGAGCGAGAGAGCGAGAGAGCGAGAGAGAGAGAGAGAGAGAGAGAGAGAGAGGCAGAGAATTCAAAGAAGGCTAGGTGCTGTCAGTGCAAAGCCTGATATGGTCTAGAACTCATGAATCTTGGTATCATCAGCTGAGCTGAAGTCACTCAAACGACTGAGCCACCCAGGTACCCCTAGACATGTAAACTCTGAAGCCGGGGACTGTATCTTAATCATTGTATCCCCAGTGCCTAGCATTGTATGATGAAAGATCATGTACCTAGTAAATGTCAAGGTGGAATTTAAAACGTCAGTTGCCACAGATTCATCCACACTTGTCTCTCATGGGGTTAGCCTACCACCGTAGCACTGTGCTTTGTCAACTTGTAGTTTGCTCTCTCTCTACTCGGCTCCCTGTTGGTGGCTGCATGTGGGTAAAGGCTGAGGATAACACTTTGTGGAAATGATTTAGTCGGCAGTGTAGCTGCACCCTCACCCACACGGCTGTACTTAACGGCACTCCTAGCACGGAGTGCACGTGGTTGAGTCTTTGATATGAAAGTCAGAAAAATATGAAAAGGAAATGGGTTCAGTGACCAATAATATCCCATCTAAGGAGAAGAGGGCGTCCAAGGGGATCGCGAATCTGCAGAAATCTTCTCTTAGAACACTGTCAGCACAGCCCAAAAGCCTTTCCTCACCTCCCAGCCTCTCTTTTGAGACTAGGCCCAGCTGGGTTAGATGGTTTCCTGTAAGCTTTTTAACAACAACGCCGTTTAAAGAAAGAGGAAGAGAAAGTAGGAGAAAGGGGCGAGGGGCCAGGGCAGAGGGAGGCTGGCTTCTGTTCAATTCAAGATGGGTCTTTAAATTCAGAGAAGGCAGCGCATCTCCATCTCTTTCGTTTCTGCTTCTGCTGTCCCTTCTGAGTCCGCTGATTTAGCACTGAGACATAGCCCAAGAAGGGGAGAGAGTTTCTCTTCTAAGTGTCTGGAAAAGAAAAACTTTGAGGAAACAGCCAAAAGAGGGAGGGAGAGGAGACTGGATATAGTGTGAGGGAGAGGAGGAGGGAGGCCGAGGCTGCACTCGCCGTAGAATGGGTGGCCGGCGGGCGGGCGCGCCGGCGAGCCACAGCAACCCGGGCCGAGCCCCTGGCAAACTCCACTGGCTCAAACACCGGCGCCCGAGGCAGCCGCGCAGCTGAGCCTCAGGCGCAGCCGGGCCTGGGTGGCGCGAGGCCAGGCCCGGGAGGCCAGCGTCTGTGCCCCGGAGGCGGACCGGGGGCGGGGCCGTCCCCGGGGCAGGGCTCTCCCGCGGGCGGCCCTTTGCCTCCCCGCCTCCGCGAGCCGCCGCAGCAGAGGATGCCCTACGGCGCCGCCCGCCCGGCCCCGGAGAGGCGGCTGAGGAGCCGGCCGCCCATTGGT